AAACAAACAAAAAAAAAAACCCCAAAAAACCTACGTACGGAAAAAAGCGCTGCGAAAACAGAAGAAATGCAGTGAGAACGGCCACCCTGCCTTTTTATCCCTTCCTTCTGGGGATCGGTAGGACTTCTGATTGGCGGAGGCCGCGATTGTGAAGTTAACCAATGGAAAGACAGATGAAAGAGCGACCAATCGCAGATGAGCGACAGTTTGACATCATCACCCTCTGTTGTCCAATAGACAAGAACGGCCTTGAGTCATCTCATTTGCATACCGTCCCTATAAATACGGGTGTCGCCGCTATTGTATTTACGTCGTTCCTGCGGTAGACAGGTAGTGACACACTTGTGAAATGCCGGAACCAGCTAAATCCGCTCCCGCTCCGAAGAAGGGCTCCAAGAAAGCCGTCACCAAGACGCAGAAGAAGGGTGACAAGAAACGTAGAAAGACTAGGAAGGAGAGCTACTCGATCTACGTGTACAAGGTGCTGAAGCAGGTGCACCCCGACACGGGCATCTCGTCCAAGGCCATGGGCATCATGAACTCCTTCGTCAACGACATCTTCGAGCGCATCGCCGGCGAGGCCTCGCGCCTGGCGCACTACAACAAGCGCTCCACCATCACCTCGCGGGAGATCCAGACGGCCGTGCGGCTCCTGCTGCCCGGCGAGCTGGCCAAGCACGCCGTCTCCGAGGGCACCAAGGCCGTCACCAAGTACACCAGCTCCAAGTAGAGCGCCTCGGACCGTCAGTTTTAACCCAAAGGCTCTTTTAAGAGCCACCCACGTTTTCAGTAAAAGAGTTGTTCACACTGATTCGTTTCGGTGAGTGGTACTTGTATTTAGCACTGTTTTAGTTCCCAAACTAGGACATACTGTTTAATAGTACTGAAAATGTTTGTCATGTTAAAGGACTAGGGATGATTTTGGTTGTCTTTTATGTGCCCTACCCCGCCTGTTCATCGGGCAGATCTATAAAAAGAATGTTAAGCACCTAATCCAATTCTTAGGCTATTAAAGTTTTCCTTCCTCATTTTAGAGTAATTAGCTCTAGTTTTTGATTAAACACAGAAATATGAATGGTAGCGTTTAGGATGTTTTGGTTATTTTTCTGTTGTTACGATATAAAATAAAGCAGGGTTCTTTTTACAATTCTCATTCCAATGCAGATTATACATTTTTTTAAATAAAAAGTCTTCGTCCCCTTTAAACATTAGCTGTCATTCTCAAACGACTTGGCCGCAAGCCAGAGCGGCTTGTTTACTCCGTGAGCTCCATAGGGATCAGTCTGTGTGATATTTGGAAGACGATGTTTCATGAATTTTATCACACCATGCGCGGTGGAGGTGAAATGGTGTACGGAAAAGTATAATTTCATTACTCCCAAAGATTTTATATGAAACTGATGTAGTGGGGTTGTGGGTTGCGGGGTTTTTTTTTTTTTTTTTTTTTGGTCGTCTCTCTTTGACGGAGAATAAGCACAGCAGAATAAAGATATTCCTCAGAAATCCTGAGTAACAACGTGACAGGAAAAGACAAGAAAAAAATAAAGAATGCTTAAAAAAAAACCCCAAACCTTCAGATGGCGCAGGATATGCAGGGAAGGCTGGTTTGGTGGGGGTTTTGGGTTTGGTTGGTTGTTTTTTTGTTTTTTTTTTCGAAAAAGCCTTTTTCAATGGAGCCGGAATCCTGGTTGCCTGGGACAGAGGCGCCGATAAAAGCGTCTGTTGCGAGGCCAGGGTAAGAGCTCCGCGCCTGC